CCCACGCGCCCTCATACTCAGCTCTATCGGCGGGGCAGAGGTGTTGAAAAATATGTACATTGGGGACTGTCCAGTCGCATTTGGAACAGCATAACGTTTGTCAGACATGACGATAGGCAGTTTAGTTTGTTATATGTGATGACTCAGCACTAAATCAAATTTTGTTGCAGGGAAAGACTTTTCTTTGTCTTATGCCACTCTCTTTTGATTACTGAAAAACGCTTTTTGATAACATTAAGATCCGGGCTCCTGGCAGGACTAAAAGTAGATTGGAGGCAACAGACAGAGAGGCCGGCTCTTGTCCAAATGTTAGATTATTTTTGCCAGTGTTATCATATTATTAACTCTTTAGAGCGAGGAGCAGGATCATTATCTTGTAAAATTATTGTATTTATTTTGCACCTGTGAATGCCATTGTAATTGAAGACATCCTACGCTATACAGATGAACGTCAAGCTGTTCATTCTGTGCGTAGTCGACCGACAGGCTGACAGGTCTCCAAATTTAATAGCCATCTAAATCATCAATCGTCGACAGTTCTTGACGGTTGCCTGGGACACAGTGTGCTTTCTTGGAAAGGTCTTTCCAAACATGACCATCTGGGTCTATTTCAGAGGATAATTTAAAAACAAGACCTCATTGCGGCGGTAAATGCTCTTTTACAGTTAGGGTTTTTAACCAATATAGTTCTTACCAGATGAAAAAACGTTCTCTTATAATTTTTAGAGATAAAAACGATTTGGAACTACTTGCTAACAACCCTAATGACAATGTTTCCGTTGTTTATTTCCGTATCCATTCGTAGCCTATTGCAGGTAGAAACTGTTTGGACATCTTTATCATACAGCGTGAAAGGCAAAACTGACGCCATGTCGTATGTTCTCACTATATATTTGTTTACGATCGCAATTATCCGTACGGTAAAACAAACCACAGTCAAATGGCACAACATTTCACACATATGCAAAAGAACCTTCTAAAAATGAATTCACCTTTTTTTCACATACTTGACTCCATGGGCGCAAAAATGTTCCGTTTCCAGACGTAATTTATTTGAAACGTTTCCTGTTTACATTAATGTTCGTTTCTAGATTAACGCGCACAACCAAGAGGTTATGACAGGTATATTCCAGTAGAGTAGAAATTTACTTAACTATCAAATAATGCCGCATTTCGTCAAATTCGGGCTTGCCTTCCTTTCATAAAACAGACTTGGCATGAGCTCTTTAGTAAGCCGCTTTGCTGGCTTGAAAACAATTCGACAAACACAAGTATACGTTATAATACCGCTTTTAATGTGAACCTCGATATTTCATTATTTGCGCCTTTTACTGTATACACGGAAGCTTGCCTATCCCATGAAATATCACGCGAAAATTTGAAATTTGCTTTCGATTCAACAAATTAATGACGTATGATTGCAATATTGATTATCATGCAGACTAAATCCTTGAGATTTCAGTCACGACATGGTGCCAACTTTTAAACGAGCTTCCTTCAGACCGCCTGCAAAAGGCATAATCTGTAAAAATAACGATTACATAAGTAGTATGTATTTGACCCTAGACTTTCAATATCCTCATAAATTCAAACATATTTCATGGAAAACATGCACAAAGTCTTGTTTTTTCTTCATATTTCGTAGTAAATTATACCTCCTTCAAATTTTTTACTTGAAAAACAGGTGAATGCGTTTGGATTGATTTCAGATTAACTAGGTGTTGTTCTTCAATTTAGAGATATCGCCTGATTTAGATCGCCCAAGGAAAAAGCCTTTGCTACAAGATAAGGCAATATTTGGATCGGAACTGTCTTTATGTCCCCCCCCTCTGCCGACAGAAGTCGGAAACAGGAACGCCTCCCACGCAATAAGGATGGCCCTTCAAGGGGGATAAACATTTCTGCGTCCAAGGCCTAACACTTAACCCTCCACCACAGACCTACTCTTAAGGCTTACCGTTCCTATGCATAAATCCCCACTAATATCTATTCCTCTGCATAATCCCGATACTCCGAATGACAGTTGACAGATGGACAATTTGAAGTCACCACTCGCATGTGAAAAGCAGGTAATTAGTGCAATTTCGTTCATTCTGCTTTATTTTGAAAACAAATACAATGTAGTGTCTG